CAATCTAGATATTCGGGGGTTAATACTTTATCGGACTTGGTCATATTGTCTTTTTATATGATTGCAAATCAATTTAAATTATAGTAAGTATAGTCGACGTAGATTAGCCCTGTAAAAAAAATATCAATACAGTATTGTAAAATAATGAGACTATGCAGTTATCTCAATTTCACACTGTTCACACTTAATAAAATAGGATCTGGTTTTATATCTACCTTCTATGCTTTCCTCATCATCGTGACCTAACTTGCATAATGGACATAATGTCTTATCAGTAATGCCATAATAATCGAAGTCTTCACTACTATATTCTCTATATAAAGTAGGATATTGGTCCAATGTCTTGTTGCGAAAATAGGTGCGGTCATAAGTTGGACTATTGTGTTGAAAAATAGGTGGTATCACCTCTACCTTGGTATCAAATTTTTTCAGGGCAGATTCATTGGGAATTTGAGATTCAGTGGACGCATCCGAACTGGTGATATGTGATAAGTCAGAATTTTTCTTATCACTTTGTGAATTCGGTTCACAAAGTTGTGTCTCCATATGAATGCTATAATCAAAGGGTATATTGTCTATAATATATCGGATGTCTTTATACGTCATTTTTGAGATAGAATCAGCGGAGAAGGAATGAATTCGATTTATTTTATCCATACCTATTGCATTAAAAAGTGTATAGAGTTTCTTGGCCTGCTCGATTCTTTTTCGTAAAAGTGCATCAGAAGTACCTGCAGGAAGCTGAGTTTTAACTTCTATATTTAGAATTCTACTGACTGTATTAGACTCCGGATCAACTTGTTTTTCAGATGCGATCTCACCTCGCCTCTGGATAAAAGCTTTCCCAAATTGACAGTAACAAAAGATAGCTTCTTGGGTCGCACGATCAGCAAGGATTACAGCATCACAAAGTTTTTCATACAAAAGAGAAAAGGTTGGCGTTCCCATTTTTACTGCTAAGGGATCACAGCTTCGTATTGTTTTCTCTAGGCAAACATCCAAAGAATTCGAGCCTTGCTCATTTATAATATTGGAACAATTGGTGCTTGCATCCGATTCTCTTTGGGAAGATACTGAAGGTATCGAATCATCCACAATCACTTTAGTAACTGCCCCCTCGGATACTTCCTGAATGAATTTTTCCCTTTGTTTTATCTGATTTTCCTTACAAAGCGCCCTTTTGTCAACCGATACCTGCTTATCTTTTTCAGGGGAAATAGATTCTACTTTCGCAAGCTTCTCCTCCCGCTTTCTCTGCCTAATTTCATTACTAACTCTTTTCTTATTCACCTCATCCAGGAAAGAGTCCATTGTCTTGTCCTCTGATGACTTTGAATTGGCAGGTACTGTTTCATTTGCTACTATGGAATCTGGTATGTCAGCAGATTTTTCGGGAGAGAAATCCTTTCGCGGATGCCTAGAATCGTCTTCTAACTTTGCAACTCTAGCCTTAAGTTCAGCATTCTCAGCATCACGCCTGACATTTTCAACATTACGTCTAATATTCTCGACAGCAATATCTATTCTAGCTTTTTCTAATTCTTCGATTCTATTCCTGAGCTCGGCCCTTAGCTTTGTAATCTCATCCTTGGCCTCGTCATACTTGGCCTTAAATTCGGCATTCTCAGCCATAAGTCTGGCGTTTTCTTGCCTAAGTAAGTCAATCTCGGATGTCATTTTCAAAAATAATTTTATACACTGTATATTTACATTCAAAATAAAAAATTCACGTGATTCCACTTTGTGAACTTAGTTCACGAAGTTTTTATCTTGGCAAAAAAATAATTTATTTATAAGAAAAAAAAAGGATTTACATCGATTTGAAATTTGCAGGTAGATAGAATAAGCGCAAAAAATATATAGTTATGGAACCCTCATTCCAAGGCTATGAATGATCTAAAATCAAAATGTTATAGTAATATTTAGTAAAATGTTCGTGCTAGAGCTAAGATATGCTCTGATCCCAAAACATTCGTTTTAGAAAACGCATCATATAAGGTACCTGGTCTATACTTCGCAGGAGCTAAATTTGGGTGATGAAGAAATTTCACGAGTAAGTCATCCCTCCAAGCTTTCGTCTCTTCACGCTCCCAAGTTATTTCTATTAATACAGACAAGTTATCACTAGAATAATTCTTTTGTATTAAATTCTGAAGTGAGGAACGTTTATTTTTTTCGAGGGTAAATAAACTCACTCCTCCCATGACGGCGGATTCCACGCTAATAATGAATTTTTTGCGAATATCTGCTCTTTCTGCTAAGGTAGATAAGGGCGGAATTAAGGCTGGGTGGTAAAAGTCAGCTAAAGGATCTAATTCGAATTCACCAACAGATATAGTTTCAATATCTTCTAAATAATCTGAAAGTCTATTAGCGCATCTGTAACCTTCGTGGATCAGCTTCTAGAATAGCTTACCATTAGTTTTGATCCAGCGCCCCGTTAGAAGGTTGAGTACTTCATTAGGAGTGACCGATTCTTGAATACTAATTCTCGAAATTAACATTTATGAAACTGATAATAGTTGATTAGTACTTATGAAATGGATATGCTTAATTACCTCTTTAGCAAATTAATTCCAAACATCTTTAGCTTGATCTAAGCCGATTTCCTTCCGCATACTTCCGTTTATAGTATATATATGCTCTTTCCTTACCTTGACCACATGGGACACAGAGCCGAACGCTCGATTTAGTGCCCTGACCACATCCTTTACATGGTTGTGGGATTATTACACCCTTTCGTATTTTGAATGCATGGGAGGCACAATATTGATCTCGTGTCGAATTTTTACAGAAATGGGTCTCTCCAACTAATAACCAATTACAAGACATTTCTTTATTATTCATGCTCACTTTTATATTTAAAATTACATGCAAAAATAAATACAAATGTTCGGGACTGTGCCTGTGATACATGACTATTTTTTTTAATCCTACGGACTAACTAACCACCTGACATTTACGTGACTTGGAAATTCGCCCCACGTTCTTTACGAAATGTCTGTTATAAAGTACACATTTATTAATGATAGGAAACTGCGAAGCGCCTTAACGGCAGAGTTACAAGAAATCGCAATACATGAATTTGTAAAATAATAAATTCTTACACATTATATCTATCTAGCAAGTTAGAATATTTGAGGTGTTCCTCCTCGAAAAGCTTTCTCTTCTTTTTTGTGTCCGCTCAACTTGCCATCCCGAAGTCAATCAGGTAGATGTCACCGTTGTCATTAATTAAGATGTTTTCCTCCCGAATGTCATTGTGGAGGATGCCATGCTTGTGAATCGCTTCTAATCCCTTAATAGCCCTTGTCTTTTGCTGTTTCTTTATTTTTTGCTCGCTCAACGAAGTGCCGACAATGGTCATGCTGATAACGAAGCTCATCCCTCCTTCGTAATATCCATAACAGATCAACTTTGGGATATACTTGCCTTGAATATCATCTAGATCTTTATAAATCTCGACTTCTTTTTGCATTTCTTCCAGGACGTATGGTGGGACTTTTGATAAATCAACGCTCTTCAAAGCGATAGTCTCACCACGAAACTCACATAGGAGCGTTTTACCACTGCGACCTTCACCTAATATGTCTTTAAACTTGAAGTCCACAAAGCTAAACTTTTGCTGGTCTACGGGGATGTTGCTGGAAGCGCCAAAGGCAGATGATTATTGGTACACCGATTTGCTGGAAGTTGTTTGTTGATTCACTGATTGGCTATTTGACTGTAATCGAAGAACACGTGAATTATTATCCCCGTGAGCTGGTACTGGAACTCTGAGAGGATTAAGCGATTGAGGTTCCTCCTTTGCTTGTCGGGCTAGATAAGCATATGCCTTAAGCACTGGTGGAGATTCTGATTGCAATGGAATGGTTTTTGAGATCTGAAGCTCTGTATGCTCACGACGTAGAAACTAGTGATTATCGTAAGTGGCAAGAATACCATATCTAAGTTTGTTTTCTCCCATATAATTGTAGATTTGTTGGATCACCATTCTTGCCTTTTCATCCGCTTGGTAAAAGTCAGGAAAAGTTTAATCTTTGATATCTTCTAAAACATGCTTTCTTTTAGCCTCAATCACCAAGATCAATGATTCTACGAGATAGTGGCAAGTGAAATCTGGTATGCCAGGAGTATGAGTTGGACGTTTGGAAAAATCATATTCTGGCCCTGTAAGTTCGTTCAATATCATACAAATATTTACGTCAATAGCAACACGAACGTCCTTCTCATTTAACACCACTTTATTTTTGATAAACTGTGGTCGCTCGAATCTTAGTTGCTGGTCGAAGCGGAACCTGTTCACTTCCTCGAAAAAGTCTTTCCAAAGCAGTACACTTGTCGGTGGGTCACCATTAACCTTTGTAGTGGTCTTCGATGTAGTACATTTAGGGGAATATGTTACTGGTGGGGGAATGCATGACAACGCCTCTTCCAAGCTGAGAACTGGAAATGAATATGTGTTAATATTACGAAGGTAAATGACGAGAAATTACATATTATACCAGACGCTTACGTGGTAACTTTACAATGACATGAATATGTTTTTTAGAAGGCGAAGTAGTCCAGTAGTCTCCTATATCATTTATTGCTGACAGCTCGTCACTGTCCTCGAGTATTAGATTTTTTAATTGATCGTCTTGATCGCCAGGGATCATCACCTTCCATAGTTGAGCTTATCTGCAGGAAAATTATCGAACTCTGGTGCCTTTTTCGCCTTAATAGCGTCCTTGAGTTCACTAATAGGTTCGTCCCTACTTATTTTAACTGAGAAAGCGTTCTCAGACGTATTCCCTTTGACTAGACAGAATAAAGTGATAGATATATTTTCGACTTATATAGTATTTTTTACGAAATGTTATTGGCTCAAAAGTGCACAAAAGTAAAAAGAATTTTATTTGTGAAAAAAAAATACTGAGTACTATATGTGAGAAATTATTCTGTTTCACAAGCCTGCCGTATGATCAGCCACATTGCATCATCGGTGCAACAATCACCTAATCACTGCGTCCCACTGACTGTGAAGACTCTTCTCACTTATCACCTGATATAGTGCTACGTTTTTATATAGGCTAGATTGGTTCAGATAAAAATGTTAGATTTATCATTACACGTGACCCGTTTCTCATATACGTTCGATAAAATAATACTTTATTTATGAAATAAAAAACATTGCCAGAAGGGTTCCAGAGGGACCAAGCCAGCCTACAATACATAAAAATTTCGAATAGTTCGCTTCACATGATACGAATAAAAATACTATTTTTTAATGAGAACATCTTCTAAATTTACTCTTACTCTTCGATCATCTGTTATCAAAGATAATGATAGTAAGAACAACACTCAATAAATTTCAGCTATAATGATATGCAAAAGCGCCTTTTGGCTAAATTACTCACACAGCTTCTTAATGTAGTCCTCAAGCTCCAATGCTGGCCTCAATCCCATTCCGAATTCTCTAAATTCCTGTCTGGTTAACTTGAGAAATAAATGACCGGTAATATTTTCCCCCTCAAGTCTCGTAAAAAAGCCATCACCAAGTTCTATATGACTTAATTCAGAATCTTCCCACAAAAAATTGATAAGTCTTTCTGTTTCGTATCCTTCTAACCTGTCAGCTAGAGTGGAGCTGGAAGACATCTTGCTTTCTCTGCTAAAGCAAACCCCATAGTGAGAAAAAAACTCGCTACCATGTATACATAACTTCTGGCTTACACATACCTTATTTTGCGTTATTTCTCTGGGAAAGTTTTTTTGCAGAAAGTTGGCTGAACTTCCACACATTCCTACATGCTTTATATCTTGCTGGGAAATGTTAAGGAGGTATGTGGTGTAATTAACTTTGTCGTATGATGCCAAGAGCTCTATGAAAACACATGCAAATGGAAGTCTCATACCTTTTCACATGTAGATCCACTGGAGAGACACAGTTAGTCTTACGCCTGACAATCTTAAAATTGTGAGTCCACCAGCCTTTTATAACATATGCTTTTGCCGTCAATATTTACTTTTACGGTAGGTCCTGTGTTGTAACTAGACCTCCTTTCACATTTTTCTCATGTTTGTACGGGGAAAAAGATAGAGGTATTGGTTAGCGAACATATATGTAAAATTAATATGCGAAAATGTCGCACAGACCTATTATGTAATCAGCCTATTTTTGTCGTACATGAGTACAATGCATTAGCCCGTAAGCACTTCGCATGGATCAGCAAATTCTTCCGAGCTGGTAGATCACTGCTCCGGAATGATGATCTGTATTTTGGACTCGAAATTTTCCACATTAAATATATTACTTTATTATAGCAATCATGACAAATAATAGCGAAACGCTTGCTCAGTTTTATGGAGTGCTTTTATATAAGAAGAAGGATATAGTAGCTATTCAGAAAAAACTCGGTATCAATGGCAATGCAAATAATTTAGTAGTGCCTCCAGATTCTGAGCTCATGGGAAAAACACTTGCTGATTCGTACGAATTGTTGTTAGAATTGGTAGGGTATTTAATACCGATACAGGAGAATCTTAACATTGATGGTAATCCTGTTCTAGAAGTAAAATATCAAAGCAATGAAGCTTCTATGGATATTTCATTGAAGGAGATATTTAATTTGCTTATGTATTTGGAAGAGGATATAATTGCAATTCAGGAAGAACTCTATATTATTGGCTACACTAATCAAGAAATGGCGGAAGAGGCCGATAAAAAAGCAAGATCATATCTCCAAAAGTTTGAGAAGTTTCACGGTCCCCTAGAAGATGTTCCAAGTGTGCTAATACAGAAATTCATCGATAGAGGAGTAAAAATGTTTTATTTTACCGGAGAAGGGCTTCCATTATTTCCGAAGGTCTCTCCTCAACAATTGCACGAAATATTCGTCAAAAATCCAGCTAGCGCCGGTCAGTGCCCATGTCTAAAACAAGTTAGCTAATCTATATTTTTTGTCGTATAGGGCACATCTAGATGCAAAAAAATCTTTCAAGCTAAATGATCATTGCTCCAAATTAGTTAGATCGGTAGAGTTCCACCATTCTGTTTGATTAGCTAGTATTCTATCGAAATGATTCCTTGGTGATCGTCTGTTAGGTTGCCGATATATCTGAGATATGGCCAAATTGGCACATAGGTCTTCGAATATAACAACTGTTCCTCTTTCTGGAAAAAATGAATTCTGATTGATAGAAACATTGCGCTGTGTTATCTCTCGCTCTACTCAAGTACGGATCGATCCTATCAAATCCTGAATATTTTGTTGATAAATATGATAAGCCCTAAGTGGGTTAATAAAAGGGGGTGCTAGCCGAAAGGCGCTGTGCAAAGTTTCCATGAAATTCTCAACATGAATATTTGGATTAAGTGAAACGAGCTGATCCACAGCTTCTTTGCTAATTTTATAACACCCTTCCAGATTAAGATATTTTAAATTAAGATACGATCTAGCAATTTTTTTGATAGTCACATCGGTAATTTTACAATAGCTAAGGTCGAGTTGTTGGAGCCTTGGGTAAGAACGAATAACATTACAAATTGATATTTCAGAAAACTCTGTGCGATTAGAAATATTTAGATATTCTAATTTATGACATGAATCTGCAATTGCAGTTAGACCTTCATCATCCACCTCTCGAGCACGAAAGCCCCTAAAGCCATCTGACCGATCATCGCACAGATTGAGATACTTCAGATTCGAGTATGAACCTGCTATCAGTTCTAATGCTTTATTACTAAATCCTACGCTATTTATGAAACTCAAATGGGTTATATTTGGGCATGAATGTACAATGCTTATGATTTTTTTATCTGAAAGTGAATGGTAGTATGATATTTCGAGATGAGTTACATTTGAGCAATAAACTGGCGTTTGCTTCCTACGTACTAGCTTTATGAATTTTTTCAATCGAGAGAGATCCTTTGCACGTTCTATCCTTATGAATTTATTAAATCGAGGGCGATCCTTTGCACAGTAATTATAATCATTTGGAAGAGATTGCCCAGGATATAAGTCTTTTCCCTTTAGCTCAATACGCTTCCATAGGATAGGGACACCGCATCTGTACCATAATCGGGATACAAATGAAGTGGGGTAGAGGGATTTATCTACCGCTAGAAAATATAAAACCTGTTCTAATATTTCTGGTATAATAAAAATTCTTAATTGCGTCATAAATAGTCTGTATTATATGTTGTATCTTCAAACGAAAAAATAAAATTATGCGATTACTGATCTGGACTCGTATATTTGGAACTATTGGTTTCTTTGGACTCAGATAAATCTGTCTCCTCACAGAATAGCACAAAATCACCATAGATTGTTAATCCTTATTTTTCCATATCTATTTTTGCTTCGCGAAGCCATAACCATGGTAATCCTAATACAAGGTCTGCTTTCAGCTTTTCAATAACCACGAAATCATTAAAAACATCATCACCATTAGTAGATACTAACCTATCTTCCTCCTTGTATCGGAAAGATAAATCTAGACATTCCAATCTGTTTTCTTCTTTATATTTAGTGTACTCCATTTCAAGCTTATCAACCAAGCTTTTTCGAATTTTATTTCTACTAGATGATGTATCTATCAATGCCTTGACTGTATAGAACCTACATCCTGCTTTTATTGCTTTGTGGTGACTTTTTAGATCTATATCATCATCTTTCTGAAAATGCCAAACTTTACATTTTATATAAGCCATTTTAAGTATTGTATTTTATAACCGAATATCTTTAATTGAAAAATAAGTTAGCCGAGCTGGTAGATAACTGCTCCAGACTATCAGTTGGACTGAGTCATGCTCAGATTTAACTATTAGCTAAATATGGGATCACAAAATTATCGTCTAATGTTAGCGTCAAGTTACGCATATTCAAGCTTACACCATTTTCTTGCATCCATGGTAAACCTAAGAGTATTTCAGGAAATTTATTAGGCTAATCTGATCCAGTAACTATGAATTCAGTGGGTATGTTTTTATACTTCTTGTCATCATTTAAGATAATACGTAAATTAACCTTTTCTAATGTAGAATAAGACTCACCTAGAAACCTGTTTACTCTAGGAATACTATTGTCTTTTGCGTATGCTATTTTCACATTTTTTTCACTAATCAAATTTACATTAGCACTTATATCAATCCTAAATCAAAAATCTGAGAGAATTATTTTGGTCCATTCAAGATTCACCTCTCTTTTCCATATATCATTTAAACTGCTAACATGTTTTAGATTTTGGCCTGAAAGATACGTTAGAATAAATGGTATTAATTCTGGTGGAAGAAGCTCAAGAAGATTTGACATATGCATTT